AGTGAACTCGTCAACTTACGAGCACCCACTTATGCATGCCGATATCACAATACCGTTTACTGATGAGATGCAGTACACATACACTAAGTGCTAGTCTTAATGGGAAAGGCCGATATCCTCATTCGTGGCGTAACCCTTCGACTAGGAACACGTTTAACAGTTATAATACTTAAGTAAATATCTCACGATCCTAACGATCAATTACTAGTACTTGTAATAACTGTAAGGACTATATCTATGCTTGTGACAAAGGGACAAAGATATAGAATGCCAAGGTGTTTTATCATTAATACGAATAAAGGTTCGTTTATTACAATAATAAATACGAAAGACCACAGCCACAGGTTGGCTTGTTGGTCACCTACTCTAACATGGTCCACCTCCCTCCTAGGTGGAAGCTTGTTGGGCAAATTCGGTGGCATCACGTCTTGGCTGGCCTCCAAGACGGTTTGGATGATCGGTGGCACGTCCTCCTCTTTGTTGATGGGCGGGCTTTCCTTCTTTAAAGTCTCTAAGAATGTCGGCTCGCCCCGTCGAACTCCCTTGGCAACTTGCATGGCCGACAGTTGCCTTGGTTGTGTGCTTTCTTCCTTAGTGGTGCCGTTGATGGCCGGCACCATACAAGGTGTCCCCTTCTCTAAGATACAAATTGAATTAAAACAAGGCATCGGGATAGCCATTACCTTGCGGAAGAAATCCATGCCTAGCACCACCTTGAATTCATCCATTGGTGCTACCGAGAAATCCACTTGGCCCTTCCAAGTGCCTAAGTGCAGCTCCGCGTCTCGTGCTACACCGTTGAGCGGTTGTGCCTTAGCGTTAGCGGCCTTGAGCCAACCGTCTCGTTTGGTCCATCGTAGGCCAACCCTCTTGGCCTCTTCCTCGGTGATAAAGTTGTGGGTCGCTCCCGTGTCCATCATCACCTTTGCTGGGGTACCGTTGATGCGGGCCTCCACGTACATCAGCCCCTTGCTTGATGTTGCCGGCATCGGATTAGCCTTTAAGGCGTTCAGAAGTTGGAGCGATCCCATGTGGCCTAGCTCCTCGTTTGTGTCTTGCTCGGCCTCTTGTTGTAAGAGTGCCGACAATGACCCCATCTTGGGACATTGACTCATCGCGTGCGGCCCCTTGCACACGAAGCATCCTCCTTTAGGCACAAACGACTTCTTCTTCTCTTCAAGTTGTTGTCGTGAGGATGGCTTGTCTCCTCCCCTCGAGGTTGACGCTCCCCGTGGGTCTCGGTTATCTCGATGGTCCCGTCCATGATTGTCCCGTCTCTCTCCTCCGCCTTTAGTCGGGCTCCACTTCTCTTTTCGCAATGTCTCTCTCGGTTGGTACTCGGTTAAAGACTCGGCGGCGGCAATAGCTTCATCGACGGATTTGATGTCTCGTCGGTGGATTTCTTGCTTGGCCCAGCCTTGTAACCCATCGGTGAAGTGGAAAAGGAGATCCTCCTCGGAAAGGTTGGGAATTTGAAGGGTGAGGGTGGTGAACTCCGTCACGTACTCGCGAATTGAACTTCGTTGCTTGAGTTCCCTCAACTTCCTTCGAGCCTCATAGACGACGTTCTCCGGGTAGAAGTGTCGCTTGAGTTCCCTCTTGAACTCTTCCCAAGTATCGATTCGGCAAATGCCTTTCTCGATATCGGCGTGCTTTCTACGCCACCACAACATTGCCGTATCGGAAAGATAAAAGGAAGAATTTCTTACCTTAGTCGTCTCGTCGACTAGACCGATACCCTCGAAATAGTGCTCCATCCTCCATAGGAAGTTCTCGACTTCCTTGGCGTCCCTTACGCCGTTGAATCCCGTTGGCTTCGGGCAGTCCACCCTTGGACTCGAAGTAGCGCCAACGTTACCGTTAGCGGCGGCCTTTTTGCACAAGGCCAAGTCGTCGCGCATCCCCTCGATGCTCTCTTGGAGGGATTGGATGATGGCCTCCAATCGATCCAACCGTTCCTCCCGCAACGCCTCATTGTCTCTAGACAAATCGAGTTGCTCGGCGACGTGATTCTCCAACACTTCCGCATCGTGCTCGAGCTTCTCGAATCGTTCGCTAAGCTCCGCTATGGCGATGTTATTCTCGAGCCTCTCGAGTCTTTCGCCATGATCCGTTAGCACGGCCTCATTAGAAGTACTCTCCCCACGAGCCTTGTTGTGGTCCCTCTTCTTCTTGTTGTTTACTTGGGCCTCCCTGCCACGTCCCTCGGTTACGTTCGAAATATCTTCAACGTTCGCCATCGTCGAGAATTCGATCAACACAAAGCCCTTAGCCGGGCTCTGATACCACTTGTCACGGACTTGTTCCCTTAACAAAGAACCATGCGGCCTTAGCTCCTTCTCGCCCCTCGAGATAGCTAAGTCAGCCTCTCCCGAATTGTGTTGCGAATACTTAAGTGATGGAAACGAAGAAAGAAAGTAAGAAGACAAGAGAGTTGGTAGAAGAGTACTTTATTGCTAGAGTATTGTTGGATTTGTTGAATGATTACAAATGAGGACCCTACCTCTATTTATACAAGATCACCTCCTCAATGGACGGTGGAGATCGATATGATCTAATGGTTGGGAGTGAAGCAATCCCTTAAATGTCTCTACCTACCACCACCTACCTCTACCTACCAAAAATGGCTCTACCTACCACTATACAATTGGGCCTAACCCTATTTGGGCTAATCTTGGACTCTTTAACCTCCCCAACTCAAGGGAAATCGGCAAGGGGTTGGGTCAAAACTCGCGGGCCGTGACATGAGGCTTACTTCTTTATTGATCCATTGATGCGTATATATACACAAATACTACATAAGATAAGCCTCATCTACAGGGCCGGTTCCGAGGGAAGCGAAGTAGACGGTCGCCTAGGGTCCCTGGATTTTTGTAAAAATTTAGGGCCCCCAAATTTTTTTATACCCTTTATATATTAGCATTTATTTAAAAAATATATATATTAGAAATATAATTATTGCGAACTCTAATTCATGAATAGATATTGATCAACGATTTTTACTTATTTCTATAATTCCTCTAATCACGGGGCCTCCAATTATTAAATTTATAGTGCATTAGCTATTTATTTTTATATATTTACACTTGTTTTAATGCTACTTAATGAAAATTATCCTTAAAAAAATTCAGGGGCGCTGCCCCCGAACCCCCGGAAATTTATAGCCCTATCTATAGCTATATATCTTACAAAAACGAGTTCACATAGATTTTATCATCTTTTAAAAAAAAATTGAGTTTTAACGTAGATTATAGAAAGGCATCATTTTTCAACCATCTTCAAAACTCTCCTGGGCCCCCAAAATCTCAAGAACGGGCCTGCTCATCTATAAGGACACATAAGCATTACATGAGATAATTGTTAAGATAAACCTCATCTATAAGGAAACATAAGCATTACATGAGATAATTGTTAATTGAAATTACTACACGTAGTAAAACTTGGTCTCCAGTCTTCATGTCCCACATGCAAACAAGCAGTATTATTGATGTTGATGTCCACCGTGTCACAGCACTTAGCCAATAATGATTGATTTATTTATTAATTACTTAAAAAATATTAAATATATTTTTTCACAATCATTTAGTAATCTTTATATATAAAAGTAAGAAACTAAATTAAGAAACTCTATCGAACATAATTTTATATTTTTTTGAAATTCACTAGCATTTTTCCCCGTGCGATGCACGGGATAATATTTCGAATGAAAATGTTGATTAGTTTATTACATGATAATAACAATTACAATAAAATTATTAGTGATATAGATACCAACATCAATATTTATACGAATTTAATAATACAAACTCATTCAAAAAAAAAATATAAAAATTTAATTGTCATAATATGAAATTGATCGTTAAATAAATGTAGCATTCTTTTAGAAAAATAGGCGGAAAGGCAAAGATTACGAAGTCCT